CAAATATTATGTGATACTTGTAAACGATGATGAACAATCAGTGACGGGACATGAGTTATCATCACACCCACCTGGAGCTAATGTACCATCCTCTACTGCAGAACTCCCCTACTTCCACAAGCATTCTACTATGCTCTTTCTGTCTTTCGTTGTCGTTTAACGGCTTTTTGCGACTTTCCCTATCAATGTCTTCTAGCTTTCAGACTATCCACATACTATGGTTAATGTCATTCAGCTTAATCTTCATTCTCTTTGTAAGTAGTAGCTGCTCCGTCACTGAATTTTCGGTGTAGGTCAGAAGATAAAATTCAGTTTTACTACCCGCATATAAACACCGGTTTTCCGCGTATGCGCATTCTTTGTGGTACGCATTGTTACCATCATCATCATCACCATCATCTATTCACTTCGGCCCTTACAAAGGTCACACCACCTAGGTTATGGCCCGCTTGCTTGTTCGTGCGAATTTCAGCATTCCATGTACTCGATCACATACAGTTATTTTTCTCCATCTATGTGTATGCATTAAGCGTGACTTTATGCAAAACGAACGGTTTTTTCTCTAATCGTCCCATCACTGAATCCGAACTTTCTTCTTTCCTCCTCGGTCCAGGACAAGAGCGTTTTCGGTCAATGGCTCGATCGTATTATCATGATGCAGTTGGTGCCTTACTGGTCTATGATATCGCCAATCGGGAGTCGTTCAACGCTCTTTCCAACTGGCTTAACGATGCTCGACAGTTGGCTTCACCGGAGATTGTCGTTATTTTGGTTGGGAATAAGAAAGATCTTCAAGTGAGTTCCGTTATCAGTGAGGCTTCTTGATGTTTGATCCAGACCGTTTCTCACGTACCGAGCCTTTTCAATTTCGTCAAGATTTGCAAAACGCTTGACCTACATTGAATTTAGTTAATAGGCTCCCGTTCCACCCGAGGATATCATTTAGTTCTGCGAATTACTCGTTGCGATCAAGTATGATTTGTGAAAATTGAACCGGATACCGGCCCGTAGCCGTTGGATTGTCCACGGATAGCACAGCTGAAAGCTGCTGAGTTCGTCTTTAGATCGCAGATTGGAGAACGGCCACCTTGCTGGTTAACCGTGAATAAGTGTGTGTGTGTGGG